TTTCCTAGGAAGGGCCAGAAATAGCCAAGGGGGAACTTTTGACCCCGGCCCCAGCTCTGAGTGCGTGTCTCTCTCTCAATCTCTCTCTCCTTCTCTCTCGCCTGTCTTTTTCTCACCCTCTGCTTCCTCCTGCCTGCCTGCCTGCAGCCATCCCCGGGGGAGAGCATCACGAAGCAGGTAGATGCCCTGGTAAGTGCTACCAGTCACGGAGGCTGAGCTCTGCCTTGAGATGTTCTGGGGGGTTGCTTGTGCCTGTCCCACTGCCACAAGAACCCCCAACAGCCAAAATTCCTCAGCCTGGGATGACGCCATGATTCCCCAACCTCCCTGGGACCCCCCAGCCCTCTCTCCCTGCCAGCTGAGGTGGTGATGGCCATGCTAAAGGCCAAGCGAGGTGCCCAGGGTTGGTGGCAGAGACGGTGTCGGAGCGCAGGGGATGGAGGCTGGGGCTTTTGCCGCAAAGCCGGCTTTCCTGTCTCGGAGCTGGGGATATGTTATTTAATCTGTGGACATGAAGTTGCTAAGACAGTGTAGACAAATGCACTGCCAAAGTCAACGCGGACGGCTTCCCCTTGCCCGCAGCCAGCTTGCTGGCCTCCCTGCACACCAGGGCCGGGACCTGAGGGATGGAGGCAGCGTGGTTGCCATGAGGAAGAGGGTGGAAGCCTTCCTCACCTGGGAGCCGGCTTTGCCCCATCCCTTTGGTTGTCCAGGACATGTTTCCAACCACTCTCCAAACAGGAGAAAGAGCATCTGCAGCTAGAAAAGTCCAGTGGGATACTCAGAAGCCCGCTTTGCCGGCTTTGCTGTCTTTTGGGGAAGTTTCCTGGTATTTCTGCAGCCTTTCTCATGCCTCGCATCGCCCGTTCCAAGCAGAAGGGACCTGTGGGTTTCAGATGCTTCTGAGAGCCTGGGCACATTCCGAGCCAGCCTGGGACTGGGAGGTGGATGTTCAATGGGATTGGCAGCAGGGGGGTCTTCAACGCAACGTGGCTGAGACCAGCCTGTCCTGTGCTGGGCTGGACTGGGACATACTGGCTTGGCCGGGATCTCTGCTCCGGAGGGGACCTTTGCAGGGTCTCCCAGCCCAGCGGTGGGCAGGAGTGTTTAATAACGCACGCGCTTGCTCCTATCAGCTGGTCGCGGGCTGACTCTTCCTCGTGCAGGGGCTGGCGGCAGAGACGGCAGCGTGACTGCGGTTAGATCGGGGGGGAGCGGGGCAGAGCCGGGGCACTCGTGCCGGGGCAGGGTATGCTGGAGGGCCCTGGCCACGGGCACCCCTGGCCCCCCTGTCAGCTCCTCCATCGGGCAAGGCTGCGGTTTCGGAGGCTGCTGTGTCTGGGTGGGGTGACAGGGGCTGCTGGGGGGTGTGGGTTGGGGACCCCAGACGTCTCCTGCTACGAAGGTTTGGGGCAGAGCAGAGCCCGCGGTGGGGATCCCACCCTGGTCACCAGTGGATGACGCAGGGGCAAGCCCACGCTCAGGTTCAAGCTTGCTCCGCACACCCTGGCTCTGCCCAGGGAAGGCTTTACCTCTCTTTTTGCTGCATTTTAACTCCTTTGCACCTGGTGATGCTGGGGGGTTTCTGGGGTGAGCAGGAGATTTGGGGCATCCCGGGGACAACATGGGTGGGGATCGTCACTGCTGCCCGCACACCCCCGGGTGCTCGGATGGGGCTGCTGCCTCCCAGATCGACTTTGGCTGGGAGGGGAGACTGCTGTCCCCGGGCCCCACAGGCTGCTGAGGCCGGGCCTGGTCCCGCCGGGCGCCCG